CTCAGGGGTTTGGGGTCCACCTGGAGAAGTTTGGGATCAGCCCTGGAGAGGTTTGGGATCCACCTGGAGGGGTTTGGGGTCCATCTGGAAAGGTTTCGGATCCATCTCGGGTTTGGAGTCCACCTGCAGGGGTTTGGGATCCATCTCAGGGGTTTGGGGTCTACCTGGAGAAGTTTGGGATCAGCCCTGGAGAGGTTTGGGATCACCCTGGAGAGGTTTCAGATCAGTCTGAGGGGTTTGGGATCACCCTGGAGAGGTTTTGGATCCATCTCAGGGGTTTGGGGTCCATCTGGAGGGGTTTGGGGTCCGACCCAGGGGTTTGGGATTGGCCTGGAAAGACTTAGGATCCATCTCAGGGGTTTGGGATCCACCTGAAAGGTTTGGGATCAGCCCTGGGGGTTTGGGATCCACCTGGAGAGGTTTGGGATCCATCTCTGCCCTGAGGGGTTTGGGATCTGCCCCAGGGGTTTGGGATCAGCCTGGAAGGATTTAGTATCTGTCTGGAAAGATTTAGGATCTGTCTGGAAGTTGTTTGGGATTCAGCAGAGAGGTTTGGGATCTGCCTGGAGAGGTTTGGGATCTGCCTGGAGAGGTTTGGGATGACGCCAAGCGATCCACGGGATCCAGAACCGTCCCAGGGGATCCAGAACTGATCCAGGACTGATCCCGGGCTGGGGAATCCCCGACCTCCTCCGGCACCGGGATCCGGGGTCGGGCCTGGATCAAGGACTGGGATCCAGAACCGGGATCCAGTGAGGGGATCCAGAACCAGAACTGGACTCCGTGAGGAAATCCAGAACCGGGGTCCAGTGAGGAAATCCAGAACCAGAACTGGACTCCGTGAGGAAATCCAGAACCAGGGTCCAGTGAGGGGATCCAGAACCAGGACTGGACTCTGTGAGGAAATCCAGAGCTGGGGTCCAGTGAGGGGATCCAGAACCAGAACTGGACTCCGTGAGGAAATCCAGAACTGGGATTCCGTGAGGAAATCCAGAACCAGGACTGGACTCTGTGAGGAAATCCAGAGCTGGGGTCCAGTGAGGAAATCCAGAACCAGGACTGGACTCTGTGAGGACATCCAGAACCGTGATCCAGAACCGAGGTCAAATGAGAAGATCCAGAACCAGGATGCAGTGATGAAATCCAGAACTGGGCTCCAATGGGAATCTCCAGAACTGGGACCCAGAGAGGGGATCCAGAACTGGACTCTGTGATGAAATCCAGAACCGTGATCCAGAACCAGAACCGGGCTCCAATGGGAATATCCAGATCCGGGATCCAGTGAGAGGATCCAGAACCGGAACTGGAACCCAGTGGGAATATCCAGAACCAGAACCGGGACCCAGCACCGGGATCCAGAACCAGAACTGGGCTCCAATGGGAATATCCAGATCCGGGATCCAGTGAGAGGATCCAGAACCAGAACTGGGACCCAGTGGGAATATCCAGAACCGGGACCCAGCACCGGGATCCAGAACCAGAACCGGGCTCCAATGGGAATATCCAGATCCGGGATCCAGAGAGGATCCAGCACCGGGACCCAGCACCCCCCACCCCCACCCGGGGGTCCGATGAGACT